AATGTATTACCAATTATCTATTTCATCCTATACTATTAAAATACTATTTAGCTTCTTGTGGTAAAAAATACTCTCATAATTTGTTTCTATCAAAACCACATATTCCAATTCATTATTTATGCATTCACTTATTCATGAATTTAACAAAAGCAGACCTAAAATATATAATGTAACATATATGCCCTTTTATATAAATAATTCTGCTGTAACATGTAATACATGTGACTGAAACATTAACACATGGAAAATGCAGGGGTTTTAGAATCAGATAGACTTGGATTCCAGTTTTAAATAAGCCTTTTATTGTGTGAATTCCCTGGTGGGTAATTGTGAGATTTTAAAAATAATTATATGCAAAAATATTTACTGACAACACTCTCTGTCCACCCAGATAGTCTGGATTATGCTGCAGTAACAAGCAGCCTTAAACACTCGGTGGTGTAAAGCCACCAAGCTTTCTTCAGTCACCCTCTGTGTCCATCAAAAGCTGGCATGTTGCCTTCCTCACTCAGTGACACACACTGACAAAACAGCCACTACCAGAAACTTGCTGGGTGCAGTGGGTGACAGCAAAATAGAGAACTCTGGTGGGTCTCACCCTGGTGGCTCAGAAATGACATCCCATTTATTAGTTAACATTGGTCTCTTGGCCCCACCCACCACAAGGCAAGCCTGAAGGTCTCTCTTACTGTGAGCCCATAGTGGGGAAGAATTAGAACAATGTGGTAAACAGTGACATTTATTACTTTATTTACTATGATCCAGACTTTGCAATGGGTATGGAAGGCCTTCTAGTACCCGGGCCACAGGAGGCATCGTTTACATGTTGTTTTCCTTGTGTTATTGCCTAGAACTGAACTAAGAAATTCTGTGAAGCCTAGCCGTGAAGATACTGAGAGCTGCTTCCATTGTACACCTTGCGGCATGCATTTGAAAATCCCAGTTCTGTTTCTGTCAACTGCAATTTTCTATAATAGAGGATGGTGCATTCTGCCCTCCCCGGGGACATTCTGGAATGAATGAAGAGATAGCCTTCAGGGAGATCTTTATTCCTGAGGATTTTTCTTGCCTCCGTGCATGTCTCCTCCTAACACCTGACTGTGGTGTTGGTAGCATCTCTTGAAGCATCTCGGCAGCAATAACTATGATGGCTGATAGAGCATCAGAAAGCTGGTGCTGGATTAATTTGGGGAACCAGGTGGGCTCGTAAACAGTCGATATTGATGAAGAATGATTTACTGGCTATTTAAAGACAGCTGTTTTCTGTGCTATTCAGCTTTATTCCTGAATGCACTTGAGGATTCTTTGGGAATGTCTTCTGATTTACTGTTTGTCTTTGTTTTTAATATCAAGGAAGAACATAGATTGAAGTGATTGCCTTGGTAGCAACTTTAGTGGTGATGGGTGAGGGGTTATTCAAAGTGATAGACATGCTGGTTTTGCAGCTACACTTTGCTTGTCTTAGAGAGACTTATAAAAGGCACCAAAGAATGTGGAGAGATAGCAACTCCAAAACAGTGACAGGAAATCAACCCTGTATAAATTTTTTAAAATATATTCTGTTTGCTAAAATTCACATTTAATTTCACAATACATCTTGATGACAGTGTCCGCCAAACCAACTGGTCCTATACTCATGCCACTACTTTCAATTACACTAATGAAAGGAAAGAAGACTGACATTTATTGAGGTCCAAAAATATGCACAGCCACATGCCAGGTGCTTCACACGTATGTGCTCTCTTATAATCCTTCAGAGGTAGCAATTGGCCTCTCCTCCCCTCCACACATCGCTTTAAAGAAGAAAAACCAGAAGTTAAATAACCAGACCAAGGTCATCCAGCTTTAAAAGCCAAAGCTGTCATTGGAACCATGCTGTGCTAAAACCCACATTTATCCTGTTGAACCAATTAACTTCTCCAATAATCACAGAGTGTTATATATACATGGTAGAATGATTGGATGGTCCCTTCTCCCGATCTCATTTATCTCTTATATTTACGTAATGTTTTATTACTGATAAAGTACTGTCATATTCATCATATGAATCATATTATTTTTATCCTTACAATAACCCTACGATGTATGTAAAGCTGACATCTTGTCCCCATCATGTATTATCAAGAAATGAATTCAGAAAAGTAACTTGCCCAAGGTCAGTCAGGGCTGACTCCAAAGCCAGTGCATTCCCTCTCTTGTTTCTTCTCTTCCATAGACACATGAGCCAGCGGAGTTGATTTTCATGGCAGCTGAGCATGATAGATTGGAGCCTGGGCAACTACATGGGTATTTGCCACAAGGCTTCCATGACTTGTAATGAACTGAAACAAAGCATTTAGCCGCAGATTATAATGCCACCGTGGTCCCATGACAAATGGCAAGGAGGTTGCAGTAATGAAATCTTATTACTACAAGTACAGAGACCACATCTGAGGTCTAGCACAGCCACATTTACCACTGTGGGAAATGAAACATCTGGGTAAGGGGCTCCACTGACTTTGGTGGCATGCTAACAGGATTAAGGAGATCTCTCTGAAACAGTGATTACAATGGCAAATGTGTGGTGCCTAAGATAAGGACCAAATATTTATTCTGGCAGAGATTAAATCTTTTCTTTTCCCAAATCTAATATGGATCTTGCAGAGAATCTGCACAAGACTGTATCTCGCTGATCAGCCAACTCACTGAGCCAGAACTGTACTTTGCCACTGCTGTTGCTGAAAAGCTGCAGAACGCTGGTTTAAAGGTCTCCTCTCTCCTTCCTAAAACTGTTCTCCATCCATGATTAATTAGTGACTCAGAGGTGAATTGAATCACCAGCCATCCTTTCTATGCATTCAAGATTTATGTACTGGGTTCTCATTGTAGAACAGTGGCGCAATAAACAGCCCACATCTGCGGGGCGGGCAGAGGAGTAATGGAGTCTGCAGTCCTGCTTTCTCAACTCCTCCAGTCCTTTCATTCTGCTAAGCAGGTTATGACTCAGGTTATTATAGCCTTGCTTATTTAGGCATGAGGGTGATTGGGTACCAACACACACACACACACACACACACACATACACACACACACACACACCCTTAGAAAAGAGAAAGCAGAAAAGTTGTGTTGCCATTTCTGAATTCCTTGAGAATCAAGGAGGAAGAATAAAATGGATGATAGTATTAATTATGATCATAAAAGCCACAAAAAGAACCCATAATCAGGTTTATTTATTCATGCATTACAATTTAATGCTAGATACTTTGTTTAGTGTAGAGATGCAGAGATAAAACAAAACAAAACTGAGAACATAGTGGTCTCAATAAACAGAGATTTAAGAAATCATGAGTGTGTTTAGTTACCATTTGGGGAGGCACCTGGGTCACCTTTCCCAGAGAACAGAACATGGTAATTGCAGACATCATTTCACACTGTATACTATGTTATCAGGGCATAGAGGAAATAATGATATCTCTTCTGCATCTCAGCATCCTTGAATGCTGACAACATCTTTAGTCAATCAGTCCATATTTCTCCCTTCTAATATCAAGCCTCCTGGGTACCTGTCTATCCTTTCATTGCATATAAGATGAATTCACATACTAAATGACAAATGACAAGTTGAGGAAAACCTCTCTTTTAGGAAAATAAGTGAAAGGTACCAAACTCTATGGAAACCAGTGTGCATCCCACCAGAAGCCTTAATTTCTTGACTTTAAGCATTGTAGGTGTTTAATGAATATTGCATTTATGTATTTATTGAATGAATGAATGAATGAAACAAATTATTAAACCTGTTATTCAGTGAAATCTTTTCTGTATCTAATTTATATGGATTCTGAAATTCTTTTCACATATTCTTCTCCTCTTTCTTCCTTTTTCTCCTTCTACTTCTTGAATAAGGACATAAAAGATGACAAAGTCTAGTGAATAAATATTGTGACTCAGTCCTGTAGAATGTCAGAATTCCAACTAAATTTTATTATCCTGTGTTCTCAACCTCTTGCCAATCCTGCTGACACCCTGCAATGCTGTGATGCCTTTCCAAGAGATTGTGAGAGGCTGATTGTATTTCATCAGTAAGAGTACTTTCATTTTACACCTCATTGTGAATACTAATCTCAACTCATGGTAGTAGCCAATTGTTAGAGGAGAAGAGTAAGAGTTTTAATAGCATTATTATTTATGCTTTGGTGTTTTTGTGCATCATCCAGGAGGCGGATGATGCCATCCCTAGCACCATCTCCATCTCCACAGTTATCATCTTCATTGCCATAGTGTTAGTTTTCTCAAATTCATTGCAATTTCCATTCTTATAAGTCTTTCTTGGCCACAGAGGTTCTCTTCTGCTATGTGCATTAGCGACAGCATTGAGTGTTACATCTCTCTTTGTTGTTAACATGAAGAGTAGGGCTACAAGTATGGGAGAAGTGGCAGCTGTCTGCTTGTGAAAACTCCAGCTTAGTCTCACTGGCCTCTACTGAGGATACGTTTTCCATAGGGTTTAGACCTGCAGAAAGAATGATTAGTCTATAATACCAGCCACTCTGACATTGGCTCCTAACCATTCTATACTTCTCCCCTTTGATTTGATTGCCCCCAAACATGCAGACAAGCTCATATTTGCTCTTGAATTGAAAATCAGAATTGAGAAATGATTTAGGTTTCAGTGTCTTTCTGGTCTCTCTTAGAAAACAGGCCTAATTCATCTTAGATAAATGAACTTTGCATTGTCATTGCATAGTTGCTAGGTAGTTCCAGGCTTGATATCTGTGGAGGGCAATTGAATGGTGTAACTTGGGTAGTGCAGCCTGTGAGAGCAATTTGGGTGGCTTTATGCCATTGGTTTTTATGTTCAGGATGAAAGCCTATGGAGAAATATAGAATACTATTATTAACTTCATGCTGACAGCTCCCTCTGGGCACCTACAGGTTTATTGCTAGTTGGAGGATCAACTTGAAAGGGAGAAAACCTTGTGGTTGGTGATAACTATGCCTTTTGTGTTTCTTTATTACAGGAACAGGGGAAAATTGGAGTCGTGTTCAATATTGGCACAGTTGACATCTCCATCAAAGAGGAGAGAACCCCCGTAAATGATGGTAAATACCACGTGGTGCGCTTCACCAGGAATGGAGGCAATGCCACGCTGCAGGTGGACAACTGGCCAGTGAATGAACATTACCCTACAGGTACCTGTTGTACTCTTAATAGTCACACTCTCTTTTACTTTCTCATTCTCACTTCTAAATGGTGATTTTCTCATGCCTGTCACCAAATCACAAAACATTGAGTGAAGCTCACATCCATGTTTTTTGAAGATCAGTTATTTCTTGAGGACTTGATCCAGCGTAGGGAACTTCTGGAGACTTACTAACTATGCACTGAACACTTTTTGTCAACCTTTAACTGATACTGCCTGACTGGCTCATACTGAAGACAATCACTGTAGGTTTTCCTGGGTGCTGCATATGGTGGTAGAGGAGAGAAGGAAACCATCTCGAGCTATTGTCAATAATTATGGGATCATCAACTTGAGATCTGGACTTTGTGATGTCATTTAGTCAGGTGTGGTTGAAGGTACAGACAGCCAGAGGTTCCAGAAAGACTGTGAAAGGAAGTTTTGTTAAATTGGAATTGATGAACAGCAAGTCAGGGTGACAGTGAGAGAAAAAAATAAGGGTGTAATGTTATTCATTTGATTGACTTTGCCAATTATTGTTTTTCTCTCAACCTGCCTTGATATTCAGAGGTTGGTCCTCATAGTTGTTTTAATAGCAAGCGTGCTGGCATGGGAGGGAAAGGGGTTAATCATCTGTTTAAATTTTACTATCAAGAAGCATTCAGCAAGGCGGGGCGCTGTGGCTCACGCCTGTAATCCTAGCTCTTGGGAGGCCGAGGCGGGCGGATTGCTCAAGGTCAGGAGTTCAAAACCAGCCTGAGCAAGAGCGAGACCCCGTCTCTACTATAAATAGAAAGAAATCAATTGGCCAACTGATATATATATAAAAAATTAGCCGGGCATGGTGGCACATGCCTGTAGTCCCAGCTACCAGGGAGGCTGAGGCAGAAGGATCGCTCGAGCCCAGGAGTTTGAGGTTGCTGTGAGCTAGGCTGACGCCACGGCACTCACTCTAGCCTGGGCAACAAAGCGAGACTCTGTCTCAAAAAAAAAAAAAAAAAAGAAGCATTCAGCAGCAAATTGCCAGGGCCAGATGGCTGAACAAAGGACAGTGGGAGAAAAGGTTGCTTTCTTTAAAAGAGACCATTCAAATGATTCCTTAGCTTTCCCTCTAGTCTCTCCCTTCTCCCAGGAAAAGAGACTTGAAGCTTGATTATGGAAATGCCAGGAAGAAAGGGGAAAACACTTTAGCAAAGGGCTTTTGCTCCACAATTACATTGTCACCTGATAGATACAAGAGAATAGCTCAGAATATTGTATTTTCACTAATGTGGACATGATGCTATGTCTAACTCTATCCTACGTGCCAAACTCCCCACTATTTTCTCACCATTCTCCTCTCACTTCCTTTACAATGAGGAGGGCACAGTGACAATCAAGCCTGAAGCACATTTCCAGAAGTCTAAAAGCCATTTAGTTACTAATTATCAAGCTGCAAGAGAAATTTGCAAAGTAAATTTGCCTATTTGTGGCCCAAAACTTTTGAATGGCTTGCAGGTTTTGATTGTACCTTCATGCCTAACTCAGCATTGATTTTCTTTAAAAGTCAATTATATTTCACTTCTTAAAAATAAAATAATGAAAATGCTCATTGGAGAATTATGCTTTGCTTAATGCCACTGTAATACTATGTTATAGACATAAATTTCAATAAAATGTATTTCATTTAAAAAAAAGTCAATCAGAAGTATCTGTGCTGTTGGACTGATAGCCAGAATCCCCCTATATCTGGTTTAGGAATTATGAGAACATCCACAAACAGCACGCAAGACCCCAGAGATGTGGAAGCAAAAAGCCCCACCTATAGTCTACCATCTTGGTTTTGATAAAATAGCCATTGCTGGAGGTCTCAGAATTTCTTAAAGTACAAAAATGACCTTAGGAGGTGGTCTTTGAGCATTTGAAGAAAGACAGAGGTGTTAGCAGTTGCTATGAATTCTTATCATCATCCAAATTCACTATTGGCTAATAGACCTAATTTTTAAATGCTCATTGCTTAAAGCCTAAGGGATGGAAGGAGGGGCTGAGAGGAATCAAAATAGCCCAGGATCTTAAAAGCTGTTCATTGGCTCCTAGGAAAAATCGATCTCTCTCTCCATGCATATCATCATTGGCCCTGCTGGTGCTGCTGTGGGGTTTGTCGTGTTTCTGTTAGGATTTTCCAGGATTTCTATATTGATGTTAGCCACTTGCCTTGAGCCAATAGAGTTTGATGCCAGCAGTAAGAAGGCTGTTTAATGGTCATTCCAAAGACACAGATATGTAAGAAAACCAGGGACACTTGCTGTGTGCCTGTTTCTTTGTGTCATTCGTTCCAAATTATGGGTTGCTTCCTATATGTTTTCAAAACAGAATAAACCTTTTTTTTTAATGGCATCGCTTCCTCTTGAAAACTATTACTATCATGGCCAACTGTTATTTAGTAATAATATGTGCTATTATTATAGGATAGGGTACAGTATAGCAGTTATAAGTATGGATCTTGGAGCCAGCTGGCTAAAGTTGGAATCTTGGCTTCATCACTTATGAGTTTAAGGAAGTTGAATTAAGAATTGAAGTGCTCTAAGCATTGAAATATTTGGTTCCCTCTCCACATGAAATTCATAATACAACAATATAGAATAGTAAAATAAGTGTAAGAATTTCCAACAGTTCTGATTTTTCTCCCGTGATGATTTTTTGTAATGCTTTAAAAATATATCAGATTTCTTTCTTCCCAAATTCTCATGTTTCAGCTTTCTCTGTTTTGTTTATTCTTTAAGCAGGTGTTTATTCTTCCTATTTGGTGATCCAGTTCCAAACTTCACACCAAGTTATTGAACCTCTCTGAGCCTCTGTTTCCTAGTCTGGAAAATGGGGTAATGATAATACTTCCCAGGTTAATGTGAAAATTAGGTGAGTTGAACACATGGAAAATGGTCAACATAATACTGGGATAATTAAGTCAGTATTCAGTAAGTGTTAGCTGTGAGGATCACCAAACATTTGGGTAGCGTTTTGAACTAATGACATATTTGCTAACACAAATTACTTCATTTTGACTATTAAATACCCTAAAAATTGGGTAGGTTAGTTATTTTTCTTCTCTATTTCAAATTAAAGACCTATACAGATGCTATGCCTTTCCTAAGGTCACATAGTAAATGAAGAAAGAACAGGACGAGATTCTTCTGTTCCCAGTTGGGCACAATTTTCACTATTGCTCCCATAGCAAATTGAGGGATATTTTGAAAAATGCATAGCTAGAAATGAGCGGCTTTCTTCTTGTGTCATCTTAGATTGATTTATTTCTTTAAAGGAGTATCATATTTCAGAGGTCAGTTCCAATGATCACACAAAAGTGGTTTTTGGGAGATGTGGAGTCAAAAATCCTCGTTTAAAAAAGAAAAGTTTTATTAGCACCAATGAGCCCAAGCTGTCCTCCTTGAACAATGGCAATGTGTTCCCATGAGGTAGTTGAATGAATACTGAGTATTTAAAGAAGCTATTACCTTACCTTGTTGCCTAGATTAAGAAGGGGTACAGATATCCTAGATTGAGTCTAACATTTGAATTTTATGTTCCACTCTGGCAAGACTTCCTAGAAGCGGCTCACCTTTTGAACTCAGATACCTTATCTTCTCTCCTGCCTGCTTTCCTGTGCTATTGAAAGGATCAATTTAAAATGCCATTAGCACAGTCTGGCAACATTTAATTTATTTTAAATCATGAGATCAAAATGCCCCCTGCATTTGGGCATCGAAGAACAAAGCCACCAACCTGGTAAGGCAATTTTGACACAATTTCTGCAAAAATGATGTCTCCTCTTTTTTCCCAAACCAGTCTGCTTTATTGATAGCTAAGTTTAGAAAGCATCAAGAGGAATTCATTCTTGCTTCTTGTCTACTGCCAATGTTTTAACAGTAAAGAAATATAGAGTAGCTCCTACAGAATATTCACTTTGGTTATCTCATCCTAAGGGCACACTCTCAGGGAATTGTTCCTGCTCCCCAGATCCGAATGAATCAACTGTGCACCAGGATGAATGGGTCAACTCCAGAATCTTCTTATGGGCATTTATAGGATTTTATGGGGCTTTACTGAAACATCCCACCGTGAAATATTTAGAACCCAGCTGGGCACAGGGCATGTAGCATGGGCTCTTTGTGAATCAGGAAGGAAACAAAATGAAAATAGTTCTGTAGCAATCGGAATCTTATATCACTTAATTCTGGGAGGTGGAACTCAAAAGCAACTTCTTTCTTTGAAACTGAAAATAGAAAAGCTAAGGAACAGGAGAGGGGAATAAAAGAGGAATCAGCCCAGAGCTAGCATCCAGGCACTGACAAATGTTCCTTATAAAGCCTCTGATTGCTGTCTCTACACAATGCAGTGGTGAGGACAAGGGAGGGGAGGTGAAAGGTGACATGAACATGAGGAATTAATTTTAGCCACAGCTCAAGGCCCCCTGGAAGGCTGAGCTGTCTGGGATTGTTCAAGATCCTCAATCTGCTGTGAGTGGGTGGCTGGTGGTGTTGTCAGTGCTATTGGTCCCCTGAGCATGGTGCAGTAAGGACTTCTCAGGTCAGAGCCAGGCTTCCTGGGAAATAAAGACTAGTAAGCAGCTTCAGTATGTAGGATTTTCCATCTTTCCACCCCAGGGGGTGCTGAGGAAAGCAGGGTCTCCACTGATCTTTTTCTTGATATTGCATACCAACTCAGTTGAAGTGCTCTTGAATGAATTCCTCTTCTCTAGGCAATAAAACATTCACTGATGACCTATGTTTAAATCCTGTTTGACAATCCAACTCAGAACATGAAAAGGATGTAACATTAGCTCCCTTTCAAAGACACTAGATTAGAAAACTTTCTTTATGTTTGAATGCATCAAATTCCATAGAACCTGTCTTTATGGGCGTTGAAAAAGAAAACACTGCTATAGTGCTTACTGATGCTCAAAATACGTTCATATACACATTATTACATTTGAGCTTCACTTCCATACTGTCAGGGACTGGGTTTGGTATTATT